CGTTCTGAAGTCAGTTGAGACATTTAAAGTTGGGAGGTTGAGGGTTGATGGGTGGATGTGGTACATATGTTTTTATCAAAGTAATATTTGATGTTTTCTCCTATGCATATGTCATATGCTATAAAGAACTAACAAACTGACATTTGGCTAATGCCTTTCAAAATTCTTGCTATTTTCTCTTCCTGACTCTGGTTTGTGCCACTTTAAAGATTTTCAGATTTAAAGGAGTTAGAAAATAAAACAGGTCCAAAAGAATTAAAAGTTCAAATTACTACACAATCATTTTAGGTTCTTTGTAACATGGATAATCAGGCTAAAATGTTGCCATTTAGTTATGGTGCTTTGACTTGTAATAGTTTCCGTAATAGACCAAAAACTTCCAAGAACTCTGGAACCATTCAAGAAACCAAACAATGAGAGCAGAGAGGAATATAAAGGGCAAACCAACGACAAGCTAGGGAATGTTCTAATACTACCATACACAATGGCAAAAGATAAACAAGTCAGAGCTCTATAAATGTCAGAAAAAAAGCTCTGGTCAATAAATCAGGTAACAAATATAATCAACCACTAAGGTGGTAGCTAAAGAAAACAGGATAATTAAAGGAAGTTCTCAGGCATTTAAACTAGAAATTCCTACCTGCATTTTCTTGCTGTCATATATAACCTATTTTAAATTTCTCACCATTGTAACCCCTTAGCTATTAAAATAACTAACGTAATTTGTAGTGTATCAATGAGAACATGTCAAAAATAGAATGATGAATATAATAGGAAGGTTCTGGTCTTGGCAGTAGATGTAGTAAATACAGTGTCTGTACTGTTTATTCTTGACCACTAGCTTGCTTAAGTATGAAAAAGTTTTATGTGTGGAAACTGACCAAGAAAGATTGGTGTACAGTAGATACTGATCTTTTTGGGGTGCTTAATAACCAACCATTCATGACAAAAGAGGCATGTGTCATGTAAGGCTGGAAAGATGGCTCAGTTGTTAAGAACACTGACTGCTCTTTGCAGAAAACCTGAGTTTAGTTCCTAGCACCCACATGGGGGCTAACAGAACAAAAATAATTTTTAAAAAGGGAAAAAAAAATACTGGTCACATCTATCCCAACAAATGTATCAAGTACAACAAAGAAACAAAAAATTTAAAATGACAAACCATCACATGTCAGAGTTGGTAGGAAGGGGAAGAAGCCCATCCAACAAGGGGCTTTGGAGGACACTGTGTTTGAGTCTTATGATTTTACATGCCAACTTTTAACACAATTTAGAATCACCTGGGCAGGGAGCCTCAACTGAGGATTGTCCTGATTGCCTTAACTGTTGTGGGAAGACCCACCCCAAATGTGTGTGACACTTTCTGGTTGCAGCCCAGATAAAAAGGACATGGATGCAACCAGAATGTGTCACACACATTTGGGGTGGGTCTGATTGCAGCCCAGATAAAAAGGGCATGGATGGGGGCTGGAGAGATGGCTCAGCAGTTAAGAGCACTGACTGCTCTTGTAGAGGACCCGGGTTCAATTCCTAGCACTCACACGGTGGCTGCAAGCCATCCTTAACTCCAGTTCCAGGGGAATCCAAAGCCCTCTTCTGACCTCCATGGCATTGCACAACATGGGTGCACTCACTTACATGTAGGCAATACACTCATACACATAAAATAAAAATAGTATTTTTTAAAAAAAGGACACGGATTCTTCTTTTGCTCTCCTGGCATTCCCTCTTGCCATTGTTAGTTGTCCTATTGTTGCCATTGCCATACAGAAAATGTATGAGAACCAGCATTTCCAGGCTCCCAATGTGGACTGAGTAGTAGCAAGTAGCAAGTAGTAGCAGACTGGGACTGTTGAGGAATCCAGCCTTATCAACTTAGCAACCATCATCAGGTTCTTGGCCTCTATGGTGTGAGACAGCCATTGTTGTGGGTGTCTGGACTGCTAAGGTACTCAGTCATAAGGACTGAGCAACGACAGGGTTCTCAGGTGTGAGGCAGCTGTTGCTACTATTTCTACTGTACTGTGTAATATACATATATGTATATATGCACAATTTTTTTTTTCTATTGGTTCTGTTTCTCTAGAGAATCCTAATACAGGTCTGAAGTGGGGGCAGGGGTTGCAGAATCCCACTTTCAGAGTCAGCTACTCAGTGAACTTAAACAACACATGACAAAATACCAATATGAGGCCAGAGCAAGATCTTGGTAACACAACCACTTAAGTTTTGACAAAGATGTCAAACACATTGACGGGGGAGGGGGGGAAGTCTCTTTGGTGCTGGAAAAAGATTATCAAAATGGGATATCCACATGTAGAATGAAAATAGGTCCACCTCTCTCACCCTATATAAAAACAAATTCAACACAGATCAAAAACCTTAATATTAAAGGACCAATGAGACAGCTTGGTGGATAAAAGTGCTTTGCCCTGCAAGGCTGACAACTTGAGTTCCATCCCAGGAAGGAGAGCTGACTCTAGAAAATTGCCCTCTGACCTCCACATAGATTCACCTTCACACACACACACACACACACACACACACACCTTAATGTAAGAAATGAAAAACTAAAACTGCTATGGGAAAACAATTCAAGATACAGGCTCTGGTAAGAACTTTCTGCAAAGGATTCCCAACAGCACAGCAAATAACCCAAAGAACAGACAAATAAGATCACAAGATAAGATAAAATAAACCTAAAATAAAAATATTTTAAAATTTTGCATTCCTAGCTCATTAGTTTTCAATCCTTGTGTCTTGATAAATGTATTTGAAATTATTAAGTACCTAGTGTCTTTTCAAGGTCATATAAGCAATGATGTAGTATTATTCTCAGTGTTTTCTTTCCATTTAACTGAGATAAGGAAATTGAGAACACCAAGATATTATTGTATTTAAAACTTACTATGTAACATAACTAGAGACTTACATTCTTGATAAACACAGCAGAATTATGGTAACATTTAAAGAATATATAACTGAATTTGGGAACAGACTTAGTTCCTAATGAAACAATAAAATCAGTAGCAAGTTTTACTCCCAATCTCATTTGAAGTCATGGAGATTAATCTTCTGCCACAAGTACACTTATGGCCCACATATTCACAAATAATTAATGAGATGTTGCAACTTTCACATAGATGAAATCATCTGAGTCAGTTTCATTAAAAGGATTCCAACAGCCAGGTAACTAACTTCATGTTGACTTTATGGCACAAATGACAAAATTCAATGTGAACAGCAGATCCAAAATGTACTGAAACACTATAGCCAAATTTCAAGAATGCCAAGAGTGTCACTGGGTTTCAGGGATCATGGGAATGTCATTAGCAGTTTTCACGCGAGCTTTATCCTTTTCTACTGAGCTTGGTTCACATGGTTGTCAGCATTACTAGGTTTGTATCTCCCAGTTTCATCATATCTTAATTTAGAAAACTCCTAGAGACTTGGTTGATTTGACTCATCTCTCTCTAGAACTGTTGCAATCACTCTGGCCAGCAAAGAATTTGGCCTAGATAAGTGCCCTTAGTCAATTACTGCTTATAGCTACTTTATATTGAAAAGCTACCCTAGGTGTGAAGAATGGGGGGAGGGGATTTCCTAATAGAAAGTGCTAGCTAGTCCACAAAAAATAGTGTTCTAGAGAAATGATGTGTGTGCATTATGTATCAATGCACCTAAGTTATACATGAAGCTACCTTGTCTGAGTATAGCCAACTATGACAACTTTCTTTACTATACACAGATTCTGGGAGGGGCTATCCAAATTGGGATGTGGATGGGGCTTTAAAGAGGTTGAGAAGAGATAAACTGATAAAAGCAGGTGACTTTTGGTGTTTTCCTTTTGGACCTCTGGTTTTATTTTCATGTTTTACAAGTTCTATTGACTATACCAAACAGAGTAAGCTTAATTTCATATTTGAATCTTTCTTTGCCATGAGAAGGGTCTTCGGCGTCAAAGGGGTGGAATAAAGGAAGTAAAAAGCCTGGGAATGAAAACATAGTCATTTAATAGTCACGCTGCTAGAAATGTTTAAGCCATGGGGATTGATATTTAGTAAAACAAACATATACTTTAACATTTCCAATCATTTAAATTGGAGCATTATTAGTCATTTCCAATTAAACGGAATGATTTTTTGAGAATATTGAAGTCAGATTTGTAGATGCCTTGATTACTTAGTCACAGTTTTCGTAAGAGGAATGTAAATAAATGTACTACACATATTCATTTCCCACTTAACCTAAATAAGTAGGCTGATTACACAATGGTTTCCTAATGTTAAGTTTTTCAATAGGGAAAACAGCTGTGTAAATCATTCATCTTTCTGAAATTGAGGTGATTTTCTAAACACTTAGGGTAGTTAGCAAGACAGAAATAATTACTATGAAAACAACAAAAAGCCCCTGACATATTGGAAGGTTATAAAACTATATATAATATACATAATACAGTTTTTTAAATTAAAAAATTTTTTTTATTATTTTTATTTTATGTGTATGTGGGTATTGCCTGTATGTATGTAAGTACACCTGTATTGTGCAATGCCCACAGAGGACAAAAGAAGGCATTGGATCCCCTGGAACTGGAGTTATGAACAGTTGTTAGCTACCATGTGGGTACTGGGATTCAAACCCGGGTCTTCTGCAAGAGCAGTCCATGCCGTGCTCTTAACTGCTCAGGCATCTCTCCAACCCCACATAATACAGTTTTATACATACATATAGAGAGTATTAAAATACCTTTTCTATTTTGGTAACTATTCTTTGAGATTAAAAATAAACTAGTTCAAGCATAAAAATAAACTAGTTCAACATATAAAATTTTCAGGTTTTCATTTACTAAAAACAAAATAGTATAAGTTTTGCTGAACTAACCATATATACATCAAGATAAATATTTAAAACTGTAGAAAATAGAAATAGTTAACAGTTTCAAATCTCCTAACATTTTAATGACGAATAATTTACCATTTTTGGTATCTTTTTTGTTGAAAATAAATTTACTTAACTTTAAACTTCACCGTGCTTTACAGTGTTTTTTATAAAAGACAAAACAGTAAACATGGCAGGTTTGAACCAGCTTCGAAACAAAATTTACAGCCATTCAAGTATAGATGTAATAACTTTAAAAACATAAATTCAATATGTATTATGAAAATATATAAAACTCATTATAAGTATACTCTATAAGAAATATAGATGAAGTAGCTTCTATAAAATATTAAGACTTCCCTTCCTTCCTTCCTTTTCTTTCTCTCTGGCTAGCCTGAAACTCACTATTTAGATTAGGCTGGTGTAGAATTCATAGAGATCCAACAGACTCTGTCTCCCAGGTGCCAGCCTCAGCACTGTTTTCTTAATGCAATATGTAAATAAGAACTATTTCTATCTCAAACAGTAATATCAGCATTTGTTAGCAAACACTGAGTATGTGTGGAAGGTAGCCATTATCCTGTATTCAAGTTTCCAAGTTTGATTTCCATAAAAATGTTTTTGACAATTGATAAAAAGTACATATACAAAAGTAAAAAGATGAGGTAAACATCTTATATTTTTAAGAAAGTATTTGAAACACTCAAGACATTTCTAGATAAAGAATTCCATACTGTTGATGATGATGATCTATATGTGAATCATGTAATGATTCTGTAGTCTTCTGAGTAGGCAATAATGTTTTTTTCTGTTATAAAATAATCACGACTTGCAACAACATTGCTCCAGTGTGGGTTTACATGAGGCACCAAGCCACAGTAAGAGCAGCTACAATGCCATTCAAAATCGCCATGCTATAGCCCATATGGAAAGAATGTCCAGTCAGTTTCCTAGAGAAAAAGGCAAAACACAAATCAGAAAAACAACACGTAATTTGGTAATGAGAAAACAAATTTTACTGAAAATGCTTAAGACACTGAAATGAATTTACCTAATGTTTCATGCATTAATATACAAGTTAAAAAAACAAAAAAAGGATACTGGACACTTGTGGGATTAATACTGGATGATGAATCTTAAATTCTCTTTTAAACACTGTCCCAGGGGCTAGAGAGAATGCTCAGATGTTAAGAGCACTTCTGGATCTTCAGTGGATTCAAGTTTGGTTCCAGTACCCACATTAGAATGCTCATAACCTCCTGTATCTCCAGTTCCAGGGGATCGGATCGGGATTTTTTTTTCACACACACACACACACACACACACACACACACAAACACACACACACAATCTGAGTTCAAGCCAAGGGAATCACAGGGTGGAAGGAGAGAAGCAACTCTTGAAAGTTGTCCTCCAACATCCTCCAGTGCACCATGGCAAATGCCCTATCCCCAGTCACACAGAGTAAATTAAAATGTAAGGAAGGTTAAATCTGTATGGTTCCATTAACACGAAATATCCAGAATAAGCAAATACATAAACAAAAGTAACCTACAGGTGTCTAGGGAAGAGGGGTTAATGGAGTTGTTAATGGATATGAAGTTTTCATTTTGCAGTGAGAGCCATCTTTTGGATTGCACATTACAGTAAAATGTTTAGAACTAACAAACTGCACATTTTACAATTGTTTCATTATATTATATTCAGTTAAAAAGACAGGTTTCCTGAAATATATTGTAAGAATAACTGGACCTGAATGAAATACTGACCATAATCTGGGAATATTTAACATTGTACATCTGTAACTTTCTGTGTTAAACAAAAAAATGGTTTAGTTGGTAAGGCACTGGCTGCTAAGCCTGATGACCTGAGTGTGCTCCCCAGAATCTACATGACTCCTCCAAGTTGACCTCTGACCTACACACATATGCTGTGGCATGCATGTGTGTATATACACACAAATAAAATGTAAAAGAAAGAAAACTCCAACTATAAATTCAATGAGTTCAGTAGTAGCACAGTAAGACTCAGGGAAAACTAACAGTTTGGTACTAAGTTTATATAATATGGTAGATAGGTACAGGGGAAAAAAAATTCAGAACACAAAAGTAATTCTTTTTTTAAATTTTAATTTTTTTTTTTTTTTTGGTCTTTTTGAGACAGGGTCTCCCTGTAGCCCCAGCTGTCCTGGAACTCACTATGTAGACCAGGCTGGCCTTGAACTCACAGAGATCCGCCTGCCTCTGCCTCCCGAGTGCTGGGACTATAGGCGTGCGCCACCACACCTGGCGCAAAAGTAATTCTTAATATGTGTATTAGTGGCTGGGGAGATGACTCAGCTGGTAAAGAGCCTGCCACAAGCATGAGAACCTGATTTCCGATCCCTAGCACCCACATAAAAACTGACCTGGCGGTTTTTCTGTAATTCCAGCATTGGAGGTATGGGGACACAGGGAAACAGACCCCTGGGGCTTGCTATCTAGCCAGTCTGACCAATTGGTGAGCTCCAGGTTCAGTGAGAAATCCTGTCTCAAAAAATAATGTGGACAATGACTAAGGAAAACTCTCTGGCCTCCACAGGTACCTACCCACACATACACCCAAACACATACACACATGTGCATGCACATATACACAGCAATTATCTTGTCCCCCAAACAATAAAAATAGAAAATAAAAGACAAGAATACACTGGAATAGACTACAATATTCAGAAATAGATCCATATGTTTACAGAGGGCAGTAGAGGTAAAAGTGATGAGATATTCTATTTTACCAACAAGAATTTTAAGTCAGGAAGAACAATTACTTCCTTGCTCCTAAGTATCATGGTTCTTTAGTAGTACAGAGGAATCAAGACTCAGCTTATTTTCAAAAGCTCTCTCTATTCACATGGATTTAAAAAAAAAGCAGGTGACTTTTAGTGGTTTCCTTTTGGACCTCTGGTTTTATGTGGTGTTTTACAAGTTCTATTGACCATACCAAACAGAGTAAGCCTAATTTGATATTTTTACAAGAATAACAAATACCAGCAACTCTAGTGCTTGTAGGTTCTTGGGCTGATAAATCCACTGAAAACATAAAGCTAAGAAGGTATTTAGAGTCTATTACAAATTATTCTCTTCAAGTTTTATTTGTGAATGTGTACAAAAGAAGTCACTACTGATCTTACACAAATTAAAAATAAAATCCCAATTGGTTCAAATTGTCTAATATTGTTTTATTTAGTTTCATCACAGATTCCACTACATATTCCACAATGGTTCTTACTGTTGCAAACTACTGCCTTTTTATTTCCATAATCTGAAGAATGTATACACTGCTAAGAAAATAGCAATCTGATAGGAGGCAGTGTGTGTGTGTGTGTGTGTGTGTGTGTGTGTGTGTATAATATACAAGTAGGTTGAGTCATGTATATACAATTTTTGCTCATGGACTTTTCTGTAGTATTTTTTTTCCTTTGGTCTTTTTGAGACAGGGTCTCCCTGTAGCCCCAGCTGCCCTGGAGGTCACTATGTAGACCAGGCTGGCCTTGAACTCGCAGAGATCCGCCTGCCTCTACCTCCTGAGTGTTGGGATTAAAGGCATGCGCTACCATACCTGGTGGATTTTTTGTAATTTTATGAAAAGGTAAGAAAAGGAAAGAACCTAATTCCAGAAGGATAAGGAACCAAATTATTGGTGATTTAGATAAATACAGCAGCAATGACTATAATTTCTTAAATCATATGAAATAAAGTCAAACATGGGAAACTTACAGATAAAAATCAGAAAATTTCCATCAAATATGTGTAAATATCTAGCCCTGCCAAACTGATTTTCTTACTCCTTTTTCCTTCGTTTTCTCCTCCATTCCCCACTCCCTGCCCTTTCCTGTTTTATGAGACAGGAGAGCCCAAGCTGGTCTCAAGTTTGTGGCATGCCCTTAGCTTCCTGTCCTGGCACTGAGCTCATTCATAGCTGATGGTGGCCTTAATTCCCGCTTCTGCATTCATCTCTCAAGTGCTGGGATTACAGGTGTGTCTCACACCTGACTGGCCATATTTTTAACCTGGATTACATTACTGAATAACAAACAAAAGCACAGCCCATGGCCTCATAGCATATATAGTAACAATATTTAACTTTGAAGACTCAATTTAATTTCAAAAGAATTCTGAAATTTTGCTGGGCATGGTGGCCTTTAATCCCAGGACTCTGGAGGCAGAGGCAGTTGGATCTCTGTGAGTTCAAGGCCAGCCTGGTCTACACAGTGAGTTCTAGGATAGCTGGGGTTATAGGGAAACCCTGTCTCAAAGACACACACACCAAAAAAGAACTCTGAAATTTTGAAAATGGCATAATTATTTTTAGATACTGTTTAGATACTGATACAACTATTATTTGTGTATATGAAAGTAACTAAGAAGCAGTATTTGTTTTCTTAACATTAAAATGTGATTTTTTTTTTCCCTCTTTCATTTATTTTTTTTTATGGGGCTTTTGGCTACCCTAACATTCCTCACTCTGAAGCGGTCACCCTAAAATCTTTTAGAGATTAGATAAACGCTCCCAAACACTTTCGACCTTTTAGGCCTTTGGAACGGAGCACGTTGCTAAGACGCTCAAGTACATTGTGTGTTTTAGCCAAGAAACTGGCTACTTTTCTTTGGGGTCTTCCCACCCTAACTGCCTAGCCAATTCCTACCTCCCATTCTTATCACACCATCCTCTGAAGAGGTTACCCAGCTTGTGGATAGGGAATCAGGACACAGACCGCAGACCGCTCTGGCTCCTTCCATGCTGAACAGGGACTCAGGGTTAGGCAATTGGGGGCGCCCCTCAGTGGGTCTATCTAAAAGACTCCCAAATTGCATAACTCTTATCTGTAGGGGGAAAAGAAAGTCCTTGACTGGTGAATAGGAGATGTAAAGGAGAAGCAAAGGCATGAGTAATTAGCATTACAAGTTCTAGACAGGGCCTAGAAAAAAGTCAGAACAGGGCAATTTTCAAATGTTCACATGAGAGTCCACTGGAATTTCTAGACAAAGGCTTCCAAAAGCATCCCTCTATTGGGTTTCTCCTCATTTTTCTTTTGTCTTCCAAGGCTGGACTTGAGAGTGATGGATTCAGGATTTGCTTTCAGGTAATTTGATAGCTGTTAGAGTGGTTAGAATCAGTGTCAGTTCCCTCCCAAAGGCTTCTACATTGGGGGAGAAAACAAATTTATCCATCATTTTAGAACAACAGCAGGTTGTCTCCCTTAGCTACAGGTGGGCCCTACAGTATTGGAGACCAAGATTACATCTGAGCAGCACTTTCTGGTTAGGAACAAAATCATCAATGAGAAATAACTGTCTACATAACTTTTTTTTTTTTTTTTTTCGGTCTTTTTGAGACAGGGTCTCCCTGTAGCCCCAGCTGTCCTGGAACTATGTACACCATAGTTCTGCCTGCCTCTGCCTCCTGAGTGCTGGGATTAAAGGCATGTGCCACCACGCCCGGCTAAATAACTTTTTGTATGGACTTACGCCTAATGTCTTGAAGGTTTAATCCCTTGATCTCTTAAAGAAATATACTGATGACTTTCCTCTTTGGTTATACTTTCCTTTTGGGTGTTTAAGACCATATAGTTGGCCCAAATAAATCAATTTATTTTTACACTTAAGGTCATTTGAGGATCTGTTCCTCAGGGGTCACATGGGCTTGGGAGGAGTTCCTGGCTCCTTTCTTTTACCAGTTCCATCTATGTGAAGAAAAGTCAAAGGTCTTGCTCGACCATGTCCGGCTTCACTTGGAAGCATGAATGACATGTTTCCTATGAGTTGACCCTCCTCCTTGTAGACTGGACACTGGTTCAAGTCCATCTCGTAGGGTTTCCATGGCCTCCCTGACCAAGAAGACAGGTGACTCACCACAGTTACAGAACATTTTGACAAATGTTCCATAGTCCCCTGGAACTTAGTTGATC